GACGATGGCGGCGACGACGACGACGACGACGACGACCACGACGGCGGCGGTGGCGGCGACGACGACGACGACGGCGACGACGACGACGACGGCGGCGGTGGCGACGACGACGACGACGACGACGACGGCGGCGGCGACGACGTCGACGGCGACGACGACGACAACGACAACGACGACGACGACGACGACGACGGCCGGCGCCGGCGCCGACGGCGACAGCGACGGCGACGGCGACGACGACGGCGACGACCGACGGCGGCGGCGGCGGCAGCGGCGGCGGCGGTGGTGGCGGCAGCGGCAGCGACGGCGACGGCGAAGGCGACGGCAACGACGACGACGACGACGACAACGACGACGACCACGACGACGTCGGCGGCGGCGGCGGCAGCGGCGACGACGACGTCGACGGCGACGACGGTGGCGACGGCGGCGATGGCGACGGCCCGACGGGGAGGACCCAGGGGGTGCTGCGCAATGGGGAGTGATACATTTCGTGGGGCCGAGGGATGCAGGAAACGCGTGCCCGCGGGCCCCGAAGTTTGCACGAAAGGCGCACCGTTCTCCCCACCCCCTCTTCGTGCCCCCCCCCGCATTCAGCAGCTCCCGAGCCGCTCCTGCGGCCGAGGTCGGCCTGGTGGGGATGCCGAACGTGGGCAAGAGCACGCTCTACAACTCGCTGAGCAAATCGCACCACTCGAAGACCGCCAACGTCCCGTTCTGCACGATCGACCCCTCCGAGACGAGGGCCTACATGGAGGACGAGCGCTTCGATTTCCTGGTGGCCCTGGACAAGCCCAAGAACGAGGTCAGAGCATTCGTGACAGGCCCCGCATGTTTTGTTGCTGTGCCTTGGCTTCGCGCTTCGCTCTGCGGGCAGGGCCGTTTGTTTAGCGTGTCGCGCCGCCAGTTCTTGCCCACCACACTTCGGCGCGACACGCGATTCACTTCGTCCCAGCCTCCAGTCCCCCGAAGCGGAGCGACAGGTTATCAGCTCGCAGAGCATATCGGCTCCTCGGGGCCGCCGCCGCGACACGCTAGGCAAAAGTTCCTGACCGCACACCGGTTGGGCTCCTATCCTCGTTCTTTGCACGGTAGGTTCAGGAGGGAAGATGTGGATGGAAAATGGAGCAAGTCGAAGGGGGCAGGCGGATTGGCAGGGAGGGGGCCACGATGGCAGGTGAGATAGAATCGCGAAAAAATGACGGATGCCACGAGAGATCGCAGTACTGATCTCTCCCGTCGTGAACAACATGGATCTTGAGCAAGACATGGACTTGGAGAGTGCGTGGTTCAATCAGGTGAGACGTACATCCAGCTGGCGTTCACCTTCAGCTCGCAGCACCCCGTTCACAATCTCGTGTTGTCAACTACCCACATCGACTCCACAACCAAGGGCTCCCTCGAGGGCGCGAAGTTATTCGCGCTTCGCGGTCCTCGTTCCTTCTCCCCCTCCTCCTCGTCCTCCTATTCTCCCTTTGGGAGGGCGGCGCGAGAGCGCGAAGTTATTCGCGCTTCGCGCTTCGCGAAGCGCGAAGCGCGAAGTTGGGAGCCCTAGAGGCGGCTTCTGCCATGCGAATCGCAGAAGAAAAAAAAAGGCACAGACAGAAAGTGTTGGCGCTCCGCGCGGACCGTCGACAGTTTATGCGTATGCCGCTTGCTGTTCGTCTAGCGAAGGCACCGTCTCACTTGGCGCATGCTTCCTGCTTCGCGAGCTCAGATATCAGCGACCTTGCTCACCTCCTGCCGCCTTTGGCATGTGCTCCTCCCGTGCCCCCCCCTCCCCTCTCGGCCTGGCCAATCGCCGCGTGCCCCAGGGGAGCCGAGGGGGGGGGCAGAGGCGGGGAGGGGGAGTTGTTGTTCATGTGCTCGTTGGTCCTTCTTATCAGCATGTTGCGTTTATTGTTATGGGTTTGTGCCTCCTCCTCCTCCTCCTCCTCCTCCTCCTCCTCCTCCTCCTCCCCCCATCGCCCCCCCCCCTGCTGCCACTGCTGTTCCTCCTCCCCTCGGCTGCCTGCTCCGTTACCCTGCGCCCTCAGGGCAGTCCCACTTCCTCTGGCCCCTCCTGTGCCCGCACTGGCTGCAGCCTTCATTTGTGTCGCTTCGCTAGGTCGGAATCCTTGTATGCTGTGGCACCAGAAGACTGCAACAGCCTCGATGCTCCTGTAGGGCCAGCGTCAAAAAGAGGGAGATGGAGATGGAGATGGAGGGATGGAGATGGAGACGGAGGTGGAGATGGAGGGATGGAGATGGAGACGGAGATGGAGATTAAGGGAACCAGCAATGACATTCACATAAAAACTCGGAGGTCCGCGCGGATTTCCCGGATCCGCGCTGGACCCCCCTGGCGGCGCCTCCGGCGCCTCCCCTGGCCCGCTGCGCGCGCCAGGGACGGGGTTCCATCCCGCGCCGATCCGAGAAATCCGCGCGGACCTCCGAGTTTTGATGTTTGTGTCATTCTTCGTTCCCCTCGAGGTGGAGGCGATGGGACGAGGACGCGAATCTCTTCCGCGCCCCGAAGGTGCGCACCTTCGGCGGCCGGCCGGCACCGCACCCGCAGGCCCGCAGGCAGTGGGAGAGCCGCGCGGCCCTTCGCGCGCGTGGCGGGCAAGAGAGCGTCTTGCTCCGGCGCGCAAGCCAGCGGGCCCCAGACTGGCTCGACTGGTTGCGCGCTGGCCGCCCTGCTCCGGCTCCTCGCTCCTCGTCCTCGTCGTCCTCGTCCTCGGCGCCCTCGCCCTCGCCCCCGTCGGCGTCTGCCCCTCGTTCCTCGCTGTCGCCCTCGTCGTTGTCGTCGTCCTCGCCCCCGCCCTCGTCGGCGTCGACCCCTTTCCTTCGTTGTCAACCTCGTCGTCGTCGTCGTCGTCGTCGTCGTCGTCGTCGTCGCCTGTGCCGCTGCCTGGTACTGGCCATGCGCAGCGCCTCCGTGCTCACCCCAGCTCGCCCTCTGCGGCCCATGCTTCGTCGTCTTGCTCTTACTGCTGGGCAGGGGGACTCATCCACTGCACGCCGCGTGGCAGCAGCGCCGCTGTGGCGATGCGCAGTACTCGTGGTGGCGGGGTGGAAGGATACCGGCATCGCCACCTTGTCCTTGCTTTCGCCTTTTTGGGCCTCCTCTGAGGCCCTCGTCGCCACGACTGGATTCGCCTCGAAATCCGAGTCAGAGCGCATCCTGGGAGAGGTCCGAGGAAGTAGCGGCATCAGTACCTTCCTGTCGCCTCAAAACCAGCCTCGGGGGGTGCACAAGAGACACAGTTCTCGCTTGGCCCAACCCGGGAGTTGTTCGGCAAAGACGGACTCCCAGTCGTCGACATCGCCGGGCTCATATCGGGCGCCTCCAAGGGCGAAGGCCTGGGGAACGCATTCCTCTCGCACATCCAAGCTGTGGACGGCATCATCCACGTCTTGCGCGCCTTCGAAGGCGAGGCCGGCTGCGGTTGCGGCAGCAGATATGGGAGGCACGCGGAGGAGGAGGGGAGGAGGAGGAGGAGGAGGAGGAGGAGGAGGAGGGGATGAGGGGGGAGGAGGAGGAGGAGGGGATGAGGGGGGAGGAGGGGAGGAGGAGGAAGAAGAAGAGGAAGAAGAAGAGGAAGAAGAAGAGGAAGAAGAAGAGGAAGAAGAAGGAGGAGGAGGAGGCGAAGAGAGGTGGAGAGGGGCGGGAGAAGAAGATGAGAATGTGGAGGAGGAGGAGGAGGACGACGAGGAGGAGGAGGAGGACGAGAAGGAATGGGGTGAGGGGGGGGAGGAGGCGAACAGAGGTGGAGGGGGCAGGGGAAAAAGGGGGGATAATGCGGAAGAGGAGGAGGAGGAGGAGGAGGAGGAGGAAGAGCGGGCGAAGCAGAGAGGGGAGAAGGTCATTGGGACTGCGTGCGACGCGAGAGCTGGAGCAAGATGAGAGAGAGAGAGAGGAAAAAAGAGAGAGAGAGAGAGAAAGAGAACGAGAGAAAGAGAGGATCGGGTGAGGTCCCCGTGAAACCACATGAGACAGCCGCAAGTCTGAATGTGCCACAAACTCGATGCCGAAAGTTATCTCCTGCTCGGCAAGTCACGACGGTTCCCACGCCAAGCGCGCTCAAGTCGCACCAGGGAACAGGGAGGAGCGGGTGAGGGACCAGGAGGCGGCAAGTGGCCCAGGTGCAGGCCTCAAGGAGCAGATGAATTCAGATCGCGCTGACGCATGGACCAAAGCCAGTTTGTCACAATGGAGCTCTCGCTTTGCTGGCGCCACACGCCCTGGCGTTACACAATCAAATAATAGAAAGAGTGCGGGCCGATTTCAAAAAGGGATCCCGCCATGACGCCGTGCATACTCGGCTTCCCAATTGTCCTTGGCTGCGCGAGTAGGTGGCGAGTCCTTGCCAAGACGGTGGGGGCACTGGACAAGGAATCCTTAGATAAGGAATCTGGGGCCTGGAAGTCGATGGAGCTCCAATCGTAGATCGGCCATGGATATCACCGTTGCCCCCATCATCTAAGGAATCCTCCAGGCTCTGCACCCTCCTGAGCACATTCCTTAACGAACGCCCCCCACTGTGTTGGGGTATCCCTTTGGCCTCGCGCACGTTTAAGCACAACGTCCACCATCTACATGCACTTGACCCTCCCTTGACCTCGACGACCCAGAGTTCCACATCGCGCAACAACTAACACTGATAGAGGGCGGTTCTTGTTTCGAAGTGGGGTTGTCGCGTGGGACATCCGCGAAGCATGCGCCCACGACATTGACATCCTGCAACGCTTATACGGATGGAGGGAATATCTGTTTTTCAAAATGAGGTTATCCTTGGGCCTCCCTGACTGGCTCTTGCGTGGGATTTCCGCGGAGCGTACGGCCACGATTTTGGCATCCTGCAACGCTCGGACGGATGGAGGGCGCGCACTTTTCAAAATGAGGCTACCATGGGCGTATTGCAAGTGAAGGGAGGATCGTTTACAAGCGCCCCCGTCTGACTGGCGGACCGACCAGCCGCTTGTCATTCAAAAGGGTGTGCCCGCAGTAGACAGGAACGTGTGTATGGATGATGTATGAGGGGGGGACTCGGGACGGAAAGATGTGTTGCAACATCGGTTGATGCATGTTGGGTTGAATTTGGTCCTCCTCCTAGTCCCCTTTATCCTCCTCCTCTTTCTCATTTTCCCTCCTCCTGCTCATCCTCCTCCTCTTCCTCTTCCTCATACTCCTCACTCCTCGTCATCCTCCTCTTCCTCCTCCTCCTGACACTCTTCCTTCCCCATCCTGGTCGCTCCTCCTCGTCCTCCTCCTCCTCCTCCTCCTCGTCCTCCTCCTCCTCCTCCTCTTCATCATCATCATCATCATCATCATCATCATCATCATCATCCTCACACTCCTCGTCCTTCGGCTGCGTGCGCTTTTCCTCCTCCCCCTCCTCCTCCTCCTCCTCCTCCTCCTCATAATCATCATTCTCGTCCTCCGCCTCTTGACCGCCCTGTGCTGCAAGATGACGACGTCATTCACGCCGAGGACACGGTCGATCCCGTCAGAGATATCAATACCATCATGAACGAGTTGCGCATCAAGGATCTTAGTTTTATGATGTCCAAGAAGGAGCAGCACAAGAAAGGACAGACCGCTGCAAAGACAAAGTCGCCAGCGCACGCCAAGAAGTGGGTAGAGGAGGACGAAACCATGGACAAGGCCGCGCCCTCTTTCTTTCAAGTCAAGCCCCCAGGTGGTTCGCATGACGGTTGGGACAAACCCTTGTGCTCAAGTCGCTTCTCCTCATCGCCCTCTTTCCTCATTCACCCTTCCCCTCCAGAGCTCCGACGTAGTGTTTTTCACAGCTTGGACCCTGGGAGGTCTGGACCTTTTCTCGGAGGCAAGCTTGTCTTCCCGAGTCGTTTGGTCCTGGCAAGGGCCCCACGGAGGCCGAAAACGGCCCAAAGACCACCTCTCGTTGCGTTTTTTCGCCACGAAGAGAGGAATTTAGCCGCCTCCCCTCACTACCCCCCACCCCTTCCTGATTCGTCATCCTTCTCGATGGCGAACAACGGCGCAAGCATAAACTGTCGGAGGCCCGCGCGGATTTCTTGGATCGGCGTGGGATCCCCTGGCGCGCTTATGGCGCCGCCCATGGCGCTCTCCGCGCGCCAGGGCGCAGTGCCCGGCGCCGATCCAAGAAATACGCGCGGACACCCAGAAGCTTTTGTTTTGCGCGGCTTGTTCCCCAGAAAGTGTTTGCACCTAGGGGCTCGCATTTCTCCTCTAAGGAACTGGTCCGTGTGGCCGGTCCGGCGGCTATGTCGTCGCCGTCGTGGCCCCGTCGCCGCTTCGTCGCCTTCCGTCATCTGGGCCGTGTGGCCGGTCAGGCGGCTATGTTGTCGCCGTCGCCGCCTCGTCGCCGCCGCTGCATTGCACCACATGGATTGCACGAAAAAAACGCGCCTGCGGCGCGCTTATAGATCGCTCAGAGCATAGATTGCACCACTAATGCTGCACAACATAGATTGCACCATAGAAATTTTGCAACCGCAGATTGCTAGAAACAGATTTTGTCTGGGGTCCACACTGGCCAACATTATTTCTTTCTATGTTCCTCCATCCTCATCTTCCTTCCCCAATTCTCCCTCACTCGTCCCTCCTCCATCCTCCATTCTCATCCGCCTCCATCCTCCTCCACCCTCCACCATTCTCCATCCCCCATCCTCCTCCACCCTCATCCCTGTCCTCCACCCTCGTCCTCGGCCCTCACTCCTCGTCTCCTCCCCTGCGGTCAGGAGCCGGTGCTCAGCGTGTCACTCCGCTGGTTCTGGTCCACCACGCTTCAGTGCGACATGCCAGCCGCGCCCCAGTCCCCAAGCATCAGCGTCCCGATCGCTTCCGAGCCTCCCGCCCCGCGACGCCGAGCGGCACGCTGTCCGTTTGTGGGGTATAGCGTACCGCCGAGGCCGTCGCCGCGACACGGTAAGCTGGAGTTCTTGACCGTATCCTCGCTCACATTTTCCATCTTCAGTCCTCCTTCCTCTTCCATCCCTGTCCTCTATCCTATCCCATCCGGTCCCCATCCATCCTCATCCCCTGTGTTATCTTCCCATCCTCCTTCCCCATCTATCCTCATTCCTTCCTCATCCTTCTTAAGATCCTCTCTCACATCCGTCCGTCCATCCATCCTCATTCCATCCTGCCGTCCTCATGCCTCTTTGCCCCCTCTCGGGGACGCGCAGGAGTGATCCTTCTCCGGAGTGACACTTGGTGCGGGCCCACAGGGGTCCCCCGAGGACTGGCTTGCGCGCCCGGATTTGGTCCCTCCGCGGCCCCTTGAAGTTGCGCACCAAAGGTCACTCTTGCCTAGGGGCATTCTTGCGTCAAGGAGAAGGAGGAGGAGGAGAACGAAGAGGAGTCGGAGGAGGAGGAGGAGGAGAGGAGAGGAGGAGAAGGAGGGGTGGAGGAGGAAGAAGAAGAGAAGGGGGAGGAGGAGGAGGAGGAGGAGGAGGAGGAGGGGAGGAGGAGGAGGAGGAGGAGGAGGAGGAGGAGGAGGAGGGGCCGCGCACCAACGGTCGCTCTTGCCTAGGGTCACTCTTGCGTGTAGGCGATCCTCCTCCGTCCTGCTCCCGTTGCCCCTGGTTCCCCCGAGCTCGCCGTCGCCACCCTTGGCCTCTCAAGGGGCCTCCCCGCCTTCGCGCCTCTCGCCCTCTCGCGCCGCCCTCCGCGCCACGGCCACCTTCGCGTTCTCTCTCGCTCTCATTCTCTCTCTCTCTCTCTCTTTCTCTCTTTCTCTGCGTCCCCCTCCTGCTCCGCCTCCTGACCCCTGTTCCTTCTGCATGCTTGGTCCGGTTATCCTCCCTCCTTCTCCTCCTCTTCGATTCCTTGTCCTTATGATGTATTCCTCCCTGTCGCGCCCCCAGTCGTGTCGATAGGGCGGGCCAGGCGCTTCTCCTAAGACTTCCTCACCACCACGTATGACCTTGAAGCTCGAGGTTCGCAGCATTTTCACGGATGGAGGGTGGACCGTTTTCAAAGTGTGTGTTTCGTTTTGGCGTTGCGGACATTCGCTGTTAAAGTCTGCAACAGGTTCACAGATGGAGGGCGGGCCGTTTTTTTTTTACCACCGCGCATAACCGTCTTCAAATTTCACAATAGTTTCACGGATGGAGGACGGGTCGTTTTCAAAATGTGTTTCGCGCCGTAGCGCCGCGCACATTCGTCAAAAAGTCTGCAGCAGTTTAACGGATGGACGGTGGCTCCTTTTGAACATGGACGGTGGCTCCTTTTCAACATGTGACCGTCACTTTAGAGTCGCGTACATTCGTTTTCAAAGCTCGCAACAGCTTCACATATTGAGTGCGGGTCGTTTTCAAAACGTGGTTCTCGTTGTAGTGCCGCGCATATTCGTTTAACACGTTTGCAACAGTTACAAGGGTTCGTACGGTTGAGGTCACAGGAAATGTGTTTTGGCGCAATTTCGGACTCTCTGGACATAACAATCACGTTGATTCGTTGTGTTGGCATTCCAGGAATGGCGTTCTGGCGAGATGTAGAGTTGTCAGGACGCAACAGTCAAGTTCATTCGCGGCAGTGAAGTCCCAGAAATGATATTTTGGCACGATTGGGGATTCTCAAACGGTTGTCTTCCAGTGGGGCATTTCTCGCAATGGATATTATTTCTTGTAGCGATTTGGAGAGAGGGTGTATTGCACCGTCGTTGATTCGTCTTGGGTTTACACTGGTCCTCCTCCTCCATCGCTGCCACCTTCATAAGCTTCCTCGTTGCCTCTCCTCCTCCTCCTAATCTTTCCACCCCCTCCCAATCATCACCAGCACCATCATCATCTCATCTCATCTCATCATCATCATCAGCAGCATCAGCGGCATCATCGCCATCATCATCATCATCATCATCATCATCATCATCATCATCATCACCATCATCATCAGCATCATCATCCTCGGCTGCATCATCATCAGCATCATCAGCATCGTCATCAGCATCATTATCATCATGATCAGCATCATCATTAGCATACTCATCACTGGGTGGAGGCACTGACATCGGCGCGCTCTCAGGGCACGTGGACCATCATCACCCATCACCGTCTTCGTGAGCTTCCTCGGTGGCCTCCTGCTCAGCCTCCTCTGCCTCCCCCTTTCCCCCCTTTCCCTTTTCCCTCCCCCCACTCCGTCTTCGTTCTTCTTTCTTCCTGCTAACAAGCGTGATCACGCAGAGACCTGGAGCAGCTTGAGTCCAAGATGGAGTAGTCGGTTGATGAGTTGGGCGTTTTGATTGAGGGGCGATCCTGTGAGAAGACATTCAAGCATACATCGAATTCATCATTATGCCGACAGGGAGAAGAAGAAGGGATAAGGAAGAGGAGGAAGCGGAGGAGAAGTATTGAGAAGCAGAAGGGAGAAGGAGACCTCCGGAGGGTTCAAACGGTCCCTGGAGGCTTCAAAAAACCAAGACGTTGACAGTAACAATAAACAGTAATTTCATGGTCCATCGTCTCCAGGATGAGGAGGAGGAGGAGGAGGAGGAGGAGGAGGAGTGGGAGCTAAATATATACTTTCCGAGATTATCGAGTGCCTGGAGTCGGGGACCGACATCAAGAGGAACATGGCCAACTGGACGGTTAAAGACATCGAGTACCTGAACGATTATATGTTGCTTACAGGAAAGCCGCGCTGTTTCTGCTGATCCTTCCTCCCATGGATCCTCCTTGTGACTTCTCCTCTCCCGCCTCTTCCTAGTTGTCCACATCGTCGCATCCTCATCATTATCTTCTTCATCATTCTTCCTCTCCCCCTCCTCGTGCTCGTCCTCGTCCTGTTCCTCGTCCTCTTCGCTGGTCCATCCTCGTCTAAGCCCCTTTTGCTGCACCACCGTCTTTCGCTGTCCTCCAGATTCCCCCATCCCGATCCATCCTCCAGCATCCACCATCTCCTTTCCATCATCGTTCCTCCTCCTCCTCCCCTTTCCTCCGCCTCCTCCTCCTCTCCCTCCTCCTCCTCGTCCCTCCCTCCTTCTCCCCCGCCTCCTCCTCCTCCTCCTCCTCCTCCTCTTCCTCCTCCTCCTCCTCCTCCCATTTCTCCTTCATCACAGCTCCGCTCATCTGAGTTGCAGCCCTACTTGCCTGAGGCGCGTGCCAGTTGAAAGCGTGAGCGCTCAAGGGTGAACGATCGGCCCGGCGCCAAACGCAGCGCCGACGTCGGCACGACGCGAACCTGCCAGACGCAACAGCCGAAGAAGAACAGGCTGCGCAAATATTCGTTTCTGGCTGCATCTCTGGTGTTTCACCTCGTTTCGATTGCACGGGGTATTTGAATTAGCTCTGAGGTGTATCGCATGCTTTGCTGAGCTGTTCGTGTGGGGGGGTCCGCTTACGTCCCATCAGCTTTCCTCCTACTTTTCCCCCCGCAGAAATTAGCCTGACGAAGGATATGCAACTGCGAGTACCACATTGTGGGTACCGCTTTCGGTGGAGCTCCCTCTTGGGCCACGAAACGTGTGAGGGGTATGCCGACTTGGGTGGCGGGGGCGCATGCAACCTCGGCCTTTCGGGCCTTCGGTGTGGCTCCCTCTGGCGTCACGAAACGTATGAGGAGTGTGCCGAACTGGGCGGCGGGGACGCATGCCACCTCTGCCTTTTGGGCCTTCGGTGGAGCTCCCTCTGGGGCTACGAAACGTGTGAGGGGTGTGCCGAATTGAGTGGCGGGGACGCGTGCAACCTCTGCCTTTTGTGCCTTCTGTGGAGCTCCCTCTGGCGCCACGAAACGTGTGTGGGGGGAATACCGACTTGGGCGGCGGAGACGCATGCAGATTCGGCCTTTTCTGGGCCTTCGGTGGAGCTCCTTCTGGGGCCACGAAGCGTGTGAGGGGTGTGCCGAATTGGGTGGTGGGGACGCATGCAACCTCTGCCTGTTGGGCCTTCGGTTGGGCTTCCTCTGGGGCCACGAAACGTGTGAGGGGTGTGCCGAATTGGGTGGCGGGGACGCCTCCGGTGGAGCTCCCGATGGGGCCACGAAACGTATACGTGCGAGGGGTGTGCCGAATTGGGTGGCGGGGGCGCATGCAACATCGGCCTGTTGGGCCTTCGGTGGAGCTCCTTCTGGGGCCACGAAACGTGTGAGGGGTGTGCCGAAGGGTGGCGGGGACGCATGCAACCTCTGCCTTTCGGGCCTGCGGTGGAGCTCCCGTTGGGGCCACGAAACGTGTGAGTGGTGTGCCGAATTGAGTGGCAGGGACGCATGCAATCTCTGCCTTTTGGGCCTTCGGCGGAGCTCCCTCTGGGGCCACGAAACGTGTGAGGGGTGTGCCGAATTGGTGGCGGGGACGCATGCGACCTCGGCCTTTTGGCCTTCGGTGGAGCTCCCTTTGGGGCCACGAAGCGTGTGAGGGGAATGCCGAATTGGGTGGCGGGGACGCATACAGATTCGGCCTTTTGGGCCTTCGGTGTGGCTCCCTTTGGCGTCACGAAACGTGTGAGGGGTGTGCCGAGTTGGGTGGCGGGGACGCATGCCACCTCTGCCTTTCGGGCCTTCGGTGGAGCTCACTCTGGGGCCACGGAACGTGTGACGGGGCGGGCGTGCCGAATTGGGTGGCGGGGACGCATGCAACCTCTGCCTTTCGGGCCTGCGGTGGAGCTCCCTCTGGCGCCACGAAACGTGTGAGGGGTGTGCCGACTTGGGTGGCGGGGACGCATGCAACCTGTGCCTTTTTGGCCTTCGGTGGAGCTCCCTCTGGGGCCACGAAACGTGTGAGGGGAGTGCAGAATTGGGTGGCGGGGACGCATGCAACCTCTGCCTTCTGGGCCTTCGGTGGAGCTCCCAATGGGGCCACCTGGGTGGCGTTGACGCAGAAGGAGGAGGGGGAGGCGCGCGGGAGGTGAGGGGCCACGAGCCGTGCGAGGGGTGTGCCGAAACAGGTGACTATGACGCATACGATGATGAAGTGGTGATGCGGATGATGATGATGTTGATGATGATGATGTTGATGATGTTGATGATGATGATGCTGATGCTGATGCTGATGCTGATGCTGATGCTGATGCTGATGCTGATGATGATGAGGAGGAGGAGGAGGATGAGGATGAGGATGAGGATGAGGATGATGATGATGATGATGACGATGACGATGATGATGATGATGATGATGATGATGCTGCTGCTGCTGCTGCTGCTGCTGATGATGATGATGATGATGATGATGATGATGATGATGATGATGATGATTAGGATGAGGGAGGAGGGAGGAGGGAGGAGGGAGAGGAGGAGGAGAGGGGATGAGAGGAGAAACGCGGGGCGCTGTCTCTTCAAAACGATGACCCAACACCATAGGGTGGTTGCGAGGCATCATTTCTGGTGGTCCGCGCGGATTTCTTCGGTCGGCGCTTGGAGCCCCCTTGCGACGCCTCTGGCGCCGCCCCTGGAGAGCGGCCCCGGATAGGCCCAAGAACCCCGCGCCAACCTCCAGGACCCCCTTCCCCCTCCCCCCCCCTCCCCCTCCTTCTCCCCCTCCTCCTCCTCCTCCTCCACCTCCTCCTCCTCCTCCTCCTCCTCCTCCTCATGCCCTCCTCCTCCTCCTCCTCCTCATTGCCCTCCTCCTCCTCCTCCTCCTCCTCCTTATTGCCCTCCTCCTCCTCCTCCTCATCCTCCTCCTCCTCCTTATTGCCCTCCTCCTCCTCCTCCTCCTCCTCCTCCTCCTGCACCCTGCGCTATGGCCCCTATCCGAAGAGGACGGGGTCATGAGGCCACGGGGCGGTAACCTGGGCAAAACGCGGCGGGGGTGTCGGTTGGGGTCCTCATCTCATGGGGGCGGCGTGGATGCCCGTACACGCCAGTCGTCGGAAGTGTGTGTGTGTGTGTGTGTGAGTGTGTGTGTGTGTGTGTGTGCGTGTGTGTGTGTGCGTGTGCGTGTGCGTGTGCGTGTGCGTGTGCGTGTGCGTGTGCGTGTGCGTGTGCGTGTGCGTGTGCGTGTGCGTGTGTGTGTGTGTGTGTTTGTGGGCTCCCAGATCCCAATCTGCTTCAAGCGCCTTCCTGCCTCAAGGGTCGATCTGCTTTCGCTGCGTTTTCTGTCATTCCCCGGGAGGGCCTGAGCCCAATCTGCTTTGTCCGCCTTCCTGCTTCATGTTTTTACCTACGTCTTCCAACCCATGTGCAGCCTATACTCGGGTACTTTGTGTTTCTGAATAGGCGTGGGGGGTACCCCCCCCGACGGGGTTCAACCTGGCCTCGTCGTCGCGCCGCGAAAAGGGGTCGGAGCGCCTTCGGCGCGTGGTGGCTGCCCGCGACGGGGGTCGATGCGGGGCTGCCGGCGGGGGGGACGCCCCCCCGACGCTTATGAAGAAACTCGGAGTAGTGTTCTGCCGGGGCCCCCCCATCGGCGGTCGCCGCCAGCGCGCATGTGGAGTTGGGGTGAGGGCGGGCGGGGGCCCTGTACACCGAGGAGGCGGGGTGCTTCCTCGGGAGGAGCGCCGGCGGCTGGGCGCCATAGGGCACGGGGGGCGGGGAGGAGGTGGAGGAGGAGGAGGAGGAGGAGGAGGAGGAGGAGGAGGAGGAGGGCGAGGAGGAGGGCGAGGAGGAGGGCAAGGAGGAGGCGGAGGAGGAGGACGAGCAGGAGAAGGAGGTGGAGGAGGAGGTGGAGGAGGAGGAGGAGGAGGAGGAGGAGGCCCTGGAATGCTCCTTATCCAACGCCCTCATGGTAGGCCCTGGAATGCTCCTTATCCAACGCCCTCATTGTATGGGAATCCCCGGGGCCCAGCCCTGCTGCACCGCCGCCGCGCCGCGCCTCCCGGGGCGCGGCGCGGGCCCAGCTCGCAGAAGGCCAGCCCTAATTGCCGAACTTCCGCGCACGCGGGGCGAGGCCCGGGCTGCGCGCGGCCGCGTCCTTCCACGGCGCGGCGCGGTGGGCACGTGCGCGCCTGGCCAGCTGCGGCGCCGTCGCCGCGCCCGGCGGCGCGGTCCCCGGGGCCGGCGGCGCCGTCCCTTGGGGCGCGCGGGGGAGGGAGCGGAGGCAGGGAGGGCGGGCAAGAGAGGGGGGGCAGGGAGGGAGCGGAGACAGGGAGGACGCGAGAGTAGGAGGGAGGGCGGGCGAGAGAGGGAGGGAGCGAGGGCGGGCGAGAGGGAGCGGCAGGGAGAGGGCCACGGCTAGGCACAGGGATGGGGAGGGCGACAGGGAGGCAGGGCGACAGGGAGAGGGATGGCGGGCGACAGGGAGGGCGGGCGACAGGGAGGGAGGGAGGGAGGGCGGGGTAGGGAGGGAGGGCGGCGGGGAGGGGAGGGGAGGCTCAGGTCGAAGGCTCCCCCCGCTTCCTCGACAGGAGCTATCCCCAGGTGCCTCCCCAGGGGCGCGCCGCGGCCGCGGCGTGCGAGGGACCCCGCGCGCCGCGGAGGGGGAGGAGGAGGGCACACAGATCCGCCATCTGGGAGGCCTGAACCTCCTCCCTCCCGCCCCCGAGACTTCAGTCGGGCACGTCCCTCTACAGGAGGGATATTCGAAAGTAGTCCAGAAATAGTATGGGGACGATGTGTCGACTATTTTCGACTGTTGTTGAATATGGTTTGGCTATGATCCATTGTCCTTCCAAAATCCGCCTGACATGCCCGACCTAACCCTGGACCTCCTCTCTCCTCTGTTGTGGCGTGGGCTGTGCTGCGTTCGGTCCCTCGCGCGCGCTTGCCCGCGCCGCGCGGCATAAG